AAGAAGCCGTGTTAATCATTTTACCGTCACCGTGCAGTAGACACCCATATGTGATTTTGTTGTATTTAATGTTAAAATAACATAACACCTCTTGTATAACTCAAATGGAAACTGTGGTAATGTTTGTGTTACTTGTTTTTTAAAAGGAGGTATTTTCAACAAAATACAGCATTAAATAATGGAAAAAACTCTTACACAAAGATGCTGTTTTATCAGGGATGAACTCATGATTATGAGGTCTAATGTATAAGAAATGTAAGCAGTGTAAAATATTACTTCATTTGTGGTTTTGCAATAACATTTATCAAAAAAGATTCCCACTTGTTCTACAAGATATTAAGGGTTTTATTCACCTTTTATTGTTATTGTCTAATATGTTGAAATTCTTTCCAACAAATTAGACATTTATAAGGCTTGTAAATTGTTATGCTTGGTTTTAACAAAACGTTCAAGGTTAGTGACAAAAAGGCAAAGGAAAGACATTACAGTAAATGTAAATTGAAACAAGTTTGTCCTGTTCATAATTACCCTTAAAACTTGCCTCCTAATGTGATTTCAAACTAAGTAATGGGAGAAAAGGGCACACTCCTCCTAATGATTATCGGTAGCAGTTTAGTTTTAGTATTCTGCAGCTAATATCCCCTTTGTGTTAGCAGCCCTAAACTGAAACTCTGCACAGAAACACTATTTGGGTAAAGTAAAGGGAAGTTGCAGAAGAAACAATTTGAATTTTGTTCCCCATCGCTTACATAGAATGCATTAAAAGAAGAAAGAGCCTGTATTAACAGGAATGATGACTGCAGTAAAAACTGTCTTTTGAAATAGGTCTGCATATTGGCATGAGTATTTTGTATCAAATAAGGAAGCTATGAATTGTGTATCTTATGTTGGTTACTTAAAGAGAGACACAGCTGCGTGTCCTCAGCATAAAAACACATACTGTAAGCACCCACTTATATGGTGAAGGGGAAGCATTTACATACCCTGTCAAGCATTTGTACTTGTACAGCACATTATACCATCTTCAATAATAAAGATAAAAGATTTACCAATAGAAATAATTGTATTTAAAAATGAGTAAAAATGTGTAAACAGGATTTTGTCCGATTTGGTGGCTGATTAGTCCAATGCTAGATCACCTTTGCTTTGTCTTAGGATGACTTTTTAATGATTACAACTTACTTAAAATAAGAATTTGTCACATACATGAAGCTGATACAGGTTATCCTTTAGTGTGAGAAATGTATTCATCAGCCAATTAAGTTTCAGTGCAATAGTTTAATATAAGATAACTCAATAGCTGAATGGGAAAGATATATTACAAACTGTAAACTAAGACACGGCTTAGGGCACCCTAGCAACAACATGTTTCCCAAAGCCATGCTGGAAAATATCCCACAGAGATCTCGACACACAGCCGAGCAACCCTATAGGTGCGCCCACAAAGAGCCTGCCTAACCCTTGCATTGAAGCAAGTTTCAATGTTTACAACTTCCATGAGAAGATGTAGTAAAAAGTGGAGAAACGTACCGTATTGTGGTATGTCTGACAGAGGGAGCAAACTGTTTTAAAGGGCTGAGGATTAAAGTAGAATAACTGGGGTGTCAAGTGTGGCAACATTAAATCGTTCTCATTGCTCACAGGTCAGGCAGAAAGGTCTCCTTTACAGTTGTTTTCAGTTGCTAACACACACAAATCTCACATAAAGCCTAATTATTTAAACTCTCGCTCAAAGAGCAAAACCTGAGCTCAAATCTCCAAAACTCTAAACACATTTTCAGCTCTGCACCCAATTTGCAATTCAACTTGGCCCTTTTTGCTAAACACTGCACACGGTTCTCTAAGTAAGACACAGAAATCACACATTTTCACTTGTTTGCCATTTTCAAAACACTGCCATTAAAAATGCTACACACATGAACCAATCAACAAATACACATGCCAAATGACCATAACACGGAAATGTTTTATTGTTGACTCATCAATCAGGATGTAAGCAACAAGGCTCCACATAATACCTTTTTACACATGGATATATGGATAGCAGCAAGAGGAAGAGGTAGAGGGAAGATAAGAGTGAGAGGGAGGATGAACTGAAGTCAGTTGAAGACTTTATTTGCAGCATAACGGTTAAAGCTGTCTTTTCCATTTACTGTATCCGATAGAGAGCATACTTTTGGTTCACACAACTGCAACTGTGTTTGCTGTGCATACATTTTGTTGTGGAGAGAAATACAAATGTTTTGTTTCAACAGAATATTGGTGTTTCTGCACATGTTTGTGATGACAATGATGTGAGTGCTATCCAGGGACAACACTCAAGACGCTTCTTCTCTCGATGTTTAGCCAGGGAAGATATTGCTTGTGATGTGGATGAGGTGCTGTGGCCAGACCCAGCTAGGCGGCGAGATGCACCCGAAGCACTTTTCTCTCCTCTGTTTTTTTGTTTAAAAGTTTTCCTTTACATTTTACTGTGTTTGAGGCATCATTTTTGTTTGCACAACTGTTACTATTTGTTCTGCATGAAGGTTGCACCAATTTTTTCTGAGAAAATAAAGTATAACAACGGTATATTTTTGTCTCTGGACATATTTGTGTAGACTTGAGTGTGCTTTAGATAAAGCACTACTTTGTGTAGTTGGTTGGACAAAGTGTCTTGTACTATAAGTGAAGTTTGTGTCATTTGGTGAAGTGTTGATGTAGTTTTGGGTGCAGTTCCTCATTTTGCAAGAAAAACGAGGTGTTTTGCACTTTGGGTGTGTGGTTTTTAGAATTGTGTTAAGTGTTTTGAGAAAATGAGCCCTGTTGTCAAAAATGTGTTTTAGCAATTGAAAACAACTGTAATTAGGAGAATTTTGCCCACGGCCTCAGGGATGTCATTCCTGCCACATTCATTTTGAAGAGGAAGTTTATATTTCACAATTAAGTGTAAACATTTAACAGCATCTGAGAATCTCACAAACCTTAACTGTGGCTGCTCTGAAAAAAACATGTTCAGCTTGTCTTACTGGCATGCAATTTAACATAGTTTCAATTATGAGCATGAAACTGATGTGATGAACAGAGAGTTTATAGTTGTTGCTAATATTCAACCCATGTCCCTAGTTGGTATTTACATATATTGCTTTCAAAGTAAAACCCTAATAAAATACACATGAAATAATACATATACCGCAAAAATACGTACATGTTACACCAATACTCCTTAGTTACTACTAATTGTGACTTTGTTTAAATGCGTTCCAAAGTCTACCTTTTCAGGCAGCACTTAAACACCTAAACACTGTACAGAATAAACCTCCATTGACTTTAAAGGGGGTTTAAAGTCAATGTAGGTTTTTAAATGGTTTACATTGTTTGGAAAGTTTTTTACAAGTAGTAGAAACTCATATGATGCTGCAGTTACCCAAGGTACCCAAGGATCTGCAAAAGTTACAGCAAAGCAGAAAGTTATGAGTTCAGGAACAAAGGCAAATTACTCAAAAATGAGGAAGAAGAGAGTGTGAAAGAGAGAGATGAAGTTGAGAGAATCATTAAATACAAGAATATGTTTAGAAATAAGTGCCATTTAAGAAGACACTCTGATAAGACAGAAATCATAGTCAAAAAAAAAAACATTAACAACAATGTGTAAAGCACAGCTTGTCTTTTATATTCAATTTCAAACCTTAAAGGGGACCTATCATGCAAAATGCACTTTTGTTCGTCTTTTATACATGAATATGTCTCCCCGGTGTTCCAGGGAACTCACCAAGTGTCAGAAAACACAACCCCTCTCTATTTTCCTCCATACCCAAATCTCTAAAACAGGGGCTGCAACGGATCTGATAAAAACTGATCCAGATTTGAACACTGTCCTGACGTCAGGAAAGTGGCGCTACGGCTATTGGGCCAACTCCACCAATCAGGAGGAGACAGCCACGGCCATTGAGTTCGAAAGCGCTGGAGACGCTGTAGTACATATGCCAGGCCTGTAGGTGGTGCTGTTCTCACAGAATCAGCCCTTGCAAAAACAGAGCAAATCTTTTTCAAATTGAGCGAAATGAGGCATGGCTAAAATGCATGATCTGTTTGGTATTTTGAAAAAAAAAAAGTATAAATATCCCTTATATAGGTATGGTCCTACACTATATTATTATAATATAGCATGATAGGTCCACTTTAAAGGTGGGGTAGGTAAGTTTGAGAAACCGGCTCGAGATACACTTTTTGTTATATTCCATGGAATGCTCTTAACATCCCGATAGCAATGAATATCTTAAGTGCTTTGACAAAAAATCCATAAAAAAATTAATCTGTGGAAGCCGTAGTACTGTAAAAAGCACGACCAATCATTTTAGCCGGCCCGGCTAAAATAACTGGATGGCCTACCTGCCTGTCAGCCTTCCATCTGTGCACAAGCTTATCTCGTGCCCTCATTGGTCATGTGCGCGTTCGTGTGTGTTGGAGGAGGGGCTCTGTAAGGAAGTGGCAGATTTTTTCCGGCTGTGTATTTTCAAATTTTAGCGATCTCGAGTCGGTTTCTCGAACTTACCTACCCCACCTTTAAGTTCATACAAAGTATATAGATTTTTAGAAGACAAAATCTGCTCAATCTCAGTGACAAGTACATTTATAATATTATCTATATAAATATAAAATGTCACTTTTATCTAAAAATGTGTGTAAACCACTTTTGCATTTTTTTACATTTTGCTTTGCTATTGTTTTATTTTTGTGAACTTCATCTTAGCTGTGTGTGTTTATAATGTGATGTTTGCTTTACATTCAATGTTAACGTCAACAAAGTACAGTATGCTCCCTTTTCATCGTTATACTTTATACATTTCTTCAGAATTTCACACATTAATAGATGGTATATAAATGAAATGTTGACTAATGTCATTCTTAGTATGAAGTTATTTAAACAGCCACTTGAGGCTGGCTCCAAAAGTGAGTCATTCTCCATTAATCCCATGTTTAAATGCCCAACATTACTACCGAAATAGCCTGGACAGGGTTAGACTTTTTATATACCTCACAGAATGTACTTTAATGTAATTAAGTGAAAAGTTTAATCTGGTGTTTTACACACAGGAATGAAAATGAACAGACTGCTTGTTGTGAGTTTGGGACTCCTGTGTATCCTACAAGCTGCTCTCAACATTTCCCTGCGTCTCACTCTCTGTAAGTCTTCTTAATTTGTGACTCTCACTTCTGTAGCCAGATAGTGCAAGTGGTTAACGACCTTGTTTAGATGATTATCTTACAAGATATGAGGATCACTAGCCCTCAATTATTTCGAGAAACATATCACTGTTCATTATGGTGAACAATATGACCCTTAAATGTATATAAAACTTAATTTGCACATTTGACTCAATCAATATCCCGTTCAACACGTTTAATCAGAGAAAATGTCCATTCAATTCTTTGTACTCAATAATTTTAATGCTGGGATGATTTTAAAGAAAATCAGCTTGGAAATAATACATTTTTGTTGGTAACCTCTCAACTGAAAATGACAGTTTCAGAGCAAACCTCCCTGACTAAAGAGAGAGACGAGTTGAAGAGAATCATCTTTGGTAAGTATTAAGATGAAACTGTTCTGAAGGGGTATACTGTACAGTACTAAATATCACCTTATATTACAATTGATTACATTTAATTTATCTGAGGCTTTTATCCAAAGTAACTTACATTAAGTGCAATAAACCATAAAGATACAAACTCAGAACATCAAGAAACATGCAGATCAGTGAGCATGCTAACGTACTAGCCGCTGCCTGTCAGTTAGCATGCTAATCTCCGTAGATATCTCTGAAACACAAAACATCGCCGTCTTTGAAGTAATGTCAACACTGTTGGCTCTTCACATTCTGTTGATGATAGTTCATTTTTTTATGTTTTATATTTTAATTTTGGCTTATTTTAAACATTTAAGAAGAGGAAATGATACATCTGATGTAGATAACGCCTCAGCTCTTTGTGTTAAGGCTGTAAGAGGGAACACAAATTCTTCACAAATCACTAACTGAACTAACATACTGTGTAACTCATCTGGTCCTGTTGGAAATAATGACAACTTCTCCATTCGACGTGACCGTTTAATTGAAAGAATTCCTTGAAAACACATCATATGGTGTTAGATTAAGCAAAGGAAACATAGACCCATACATTATCATTGATAGATTAACATAAATAATATATACAATGGGAATTCTGTTTTAGATCTGGAGGCCAGTAGCAAAAACCTGACTGAGGAGAGAGATGAGCTGAAGAGAACTGTGAAGGATGGTATGTACAATGATAAAGTCAACTATTCAACTATAATGAATCATTGAGCTCCTGTATTTTCTACAAGCTGCTCTCAATATTTCCCTGCGTTTTGTTATTTTTAAGTCTTCGTAATTTGTGTCTCTTACTTTAAGTGCAAATGGTAAACAACTTGTTTGAGTATGAAACTCTAGTTACCTTGATAGCTTTCCAGAAATGTATCCCTGTAGACATTTTCTTTTACTGAACAATAATGTGTGCTTTATTTTCAACAAAGCCAGCTCAGACATTTAGTTTTTAAACTAAATCATATGTTTATTAGGGCACATAATCACATTTTGTTGGTAACCTCTTCACTAAAATTGAAGTTTCAGAGCAAAACTCCCTGACTGAAGAACGAGACCAGTTGAAGAGAATCAACCTTGGTAAGTATTGAGATGAGACTTCTGCAATAATCAGGGGTTTGATCTGAAGGGGTAAATAATACTTATTCACTTCTAAATATCACATAAGGTAACAATATATTATTTTTTAGTTATCTGAGGCTTTTATCCCAAGCAACATACAATATTGTAGGTGCAATAAACCATAAAGATACAAACTCAGAACATCAAGAAACAGCGGGGCTAGTCAGTTAGCATTCTAATTTCCGTAGATATCTCTGCAACACAACACATAGACGTCTTTGAAGACACGTCAATACTATTCACATTCTGCTGATAATGTTAGTTCTCTTTTTTTACGTTTTAATGATAAATGATGGCTTATCTTACACATTTAAGAAGAGGAAATGAAACAGATGTTGTTGAAAACGCCTTGGCTCTTTGTTTTGTGGCTGTTGTTCAAATCGTGTTTTCTTTGTGTCACTTCCGTGTTCTGCCTGAGAAAATACACCTTTATTTCTTTCATATACACCACCAATGTAGTATACCTTATACCCCTTCCGATCAAAAACCTGATTATTGCAGTAGTTTCATCTTAATACTTACCGAGGTTGATTCTCTTCAACTTGTCTCTCTCCTCAGTCAGGGAGTTTTGCTGTGAAACTGTCATTTTCAATTTTGCCTCCAGATCTAAAATAGAATTGAATTCCCATTGTATATTATGTTAATCTATCAATGATAATGTATGGATCCATGTTTCCTTTTCTTATTCCAACACCATATCATGTTTTTAGGAAATTCATTCTGCTAAACTGTCCTGTTGAATGGAGAGGCTGTCATTATTTTCAACAGAACCATATCAGTTATACAGGATATGTTAGGTTCAGTTACGTATATTTGTGAAGAAAATAAATATTGTGATCACCGTTATCAACAACAGCTGTATCATATCCTCTGTTTAAATGTGTAAGATAAGTAATTTAAATTTAAAACGTAAAAAAAATGAACTATCATTATCAACAGAATGTGAAGAGCTTAGGATGTTGACGTAACTTTAAAAACATCTATATGTTGTTCTGCAGAGATAAGCATGCTAACTGACTAGCCGCTGCCCGTCGGTCAGCATGCATGTTTATTGATGTTCTGAGTTTGTCTCTTTATGGTTTATAATAATAATAATAATAATTCATTTATTTTATATAGGCGTCTTTCAAGGCTCTCAAGGTCACCGTACAAACCACACAAAAAACAAGATACACAATAGAGAACACCAGCATAAGAAACATAAACAAGACAATGCAGTATATAAATCAATCAAATAACCAAATAAATAAAAACAGAGGATGTGTGATGGATAATGATCAGGGTGGATATGCGAGTGTGAAGAGATATGTTTTGAGGTGTGATTTGAAAATGGGGAGAGAGTCAGTATTGCGGATGTCAGATGGGAGGGAGTTCCAGAGGCAGGGTGCAGAGTGGCTGAAGGCTCTAGACCCCATGGTGGTTAAACGGAAGGGGGGTGCAGTGAGGTGGTGGGAGGTTGAGGGAAGCAGAAGACCTGAGTGTGCGGATGGGGTGTGTTAATGTGCAGGAGGTTGGAGAGGTACAGAGGAGTGAGGTTATGGATGGCCCTTGAAGGCGAGGAGCAGAATCTTAAAAAACGATACAGGATTTGACGGGGAGCCAGTGAAGTTGCTGAAGAACAGGAGTGATGTGGTTAATGGAGGGGGTTCTGGTGATGATGCGGGCGGCAGAGTTCTGAACCATTTGAAGTCTGTGGATGGATTTGAGAGGGAGACCAAAGAGAAGGGAGTTGCAGTAGTCAATGCGGGAAGTGACCAGGGTGTGAACAAAAATGACGGTGGTCTTAGGGTTGAGGGACGGGTGGAGGTGGTTGATGTTGATGGTTATTTAGTGGGAATGCTGATACAGCATTCCAACTATATGTTATTCTATGGACAAAATTATTATTATTCCGCCGGAATTTTGCACCTCTTCTCCTCCTGCAACCCTGTCTCCTAAAAATTACGTTCCCACAGAACTAAACTGCATTCTCAATTACGTTTAGCTAGAAACGTATTTTCTCCCACGTTACGTTGGTTATGAACGTATCTCAAATACGTTTATTTTCTACATATCTTCTAGAAACATATGTTTTCCCACGTTACGTTTGTTATGAACGTATCTCAAATACGTTTATTTTCTACATATCTTCTAGAAACATATTTTCTCCCACATTACGTTTGTTATGAACTTATCTCTAATACGTTTATTTTCTACATATCTTCTAGAAACATATTTTCTCCCACGTTACGTTTGTTATGAACTTATCTCAAATACGTTTATTTTCTACATATCTTCTAGAAACATATTTTCTCCCACATTACGTTTGTTATGAACTTATCTCAAATACGTTTATTTTCTACATATCTTTGCCATTTATTGTCTTGCTTATAATAATGATAATAGTCATTTATAAATATCATTTTAGAGCACACATTTGAAATCGACGATCGGGCTCGATATCCTATGGTTACATTAAAATCAGTAGGCGAGGCTGTAATTTCGCCAGCTGCGAGGCAGAAAATAATAGTTTTAACATGCCAAAAAGCTGCTGTGTCGTTTATTGCACCTCAAACATTAAAACAAATCCAGAGTTACGTGTTTCTGTACTTCCTCTACGAAGAAAGGACAGTATACAACAGAAGAGCTCTGTGGCTTCAGGCTTGATCGCCGTTCAAATGACAGCTGGTTTCCCCAAAAGTGGGCGGGGCTGTAAAGTGACGTAGGAAAGATCCTCAGCTCGCTGATTGGATGTTTTAGCCGCAATGCACGTCGGGATATGGTGTTAATGCGATATGAAATCCGAAAAAAAAATCAGAGTTTAGGATGGCCGAAGACACTACACTACCCATAATCCCCAGCTATCGTTTGGGACTACAGTCCCGTTGACAAACCCCGTGATTAATCTTCAAACTCTGGGATTGGATGTTGGAGTGGCAGTGCGCCAAGGTTACGCCGAGCGCCAAACAGCTCTTTGAAATGGAACGAACGCCCCCCCAGAACTACACATGCTGGCCAGCGCCATATAGAGAGACTGGGACTCCCAGCAGCTTCTACTGAAGCCTTCCGAGTAAATCGCTAGAACGCCGATACCCTCCTCATCTCCACCGCTCCAATGTTTTATTTTGTGTTGCCATAAGTTACTGTAGTCTCTCTGCGTTTGTGCGCTGGGCGAATACTAATGCTAATAATGCTAATGTCGAGGATAATAAAATGGCGGCTCTACAAAACATTTCAGAGTTTTACGGGGCGTGGTTTGTAATTCGCCCAGCCAATCAGAACTGGGGCACTTTTTTCCCCCAGGAAAGTACCATCTCTCAGCAGGCACTAAAAATGGGGGTAAAAGTTCCCGGCACTCAGTACTCTTTTTGGTGTGAAAGCGACATAAGGGGTACTAACGGAACTAAACGCGAAAAGTACAGGGAAAAGTACTCCGATGTGAACGCGGCTATTGTGGTTGTGGTTGTGATTGTGCGTTTTTCTCCCCACGACAAGGAATACATAGCAAGTTTTCGTAAGAAGGTGTGGATTGGACTCACTGATCGAGAGACAGAGGGCAGATGGAAGTGGGTCGATGGGACCCCGCTGACCACAAGGTTCACTCATTATTTCACTTTTCTATTGTCAAGGTGAGCTGTGACAGACACTCGCTCTGCAGCTTTATGTCATACATTTTGTCCTTTAAAAGCTTATTTCATGTCAGATAACAAACCAAACATAGGATAGACATTTATTTTTCTATCTCTATCAATCTCAAAAAAGCATTTTGAGTTGATGTCAGGTTAAAATGTATTATTATGTTGTCTTTGGGGGTTTCAGCTACTGGTAAGCCAAATGGACATTGGAAGATGGACGAAGACTGCCCAGAAATAATTCACGAAGATGTAAGAAACAGCTGGATAGATAGTTATTGCAGTGACACAAATCGATGGATATGTGAGAAGAGATTGGCATAACTCCACATCTAGTCCCACAAAACGATGATGAAAAAAACAGGAACAACTTGCATTTCTCATTTTCAGCCTAAATTCAAATGTGGAGTTCCAGGTGGGCGAGGGGTTGGACTCTCATGTAGATATCTGGAGTCACGTCATGTCTCAGATTTAGGATTAATGTTCACTTTTTAAAAACTGTAATTGCAATTCCTAAAAGTGTCTTTTCTCTGCTTTTGCAATTATAATATCGGCTGCCTGCTTTTAAATTCTATTATTTAAACTTGAAATCATGTCCTAGTTTTGTGTCTTAGAGATGTACTAATTTTATTTTCTATTCAAAATAAATGAGTCATAAGTCATATGAGAAATTAATGTTGCGCCATTTATTTTTAAATAAGACAGTCCTCTTGGTGAAGAGCAGTTCTCACAGTATAGAGGGAAGTGCTATTCTGTACCCTAACCACATCTTCTCCCTTCTGGCTAAACTATGCTTTTAATGTTCTCTTTTAGATAGTGGTATATTTGGAGTGCATGCAATCATCCGCTTGCAGACATTACTGGGTCTAGTATAATATAGTGTCTCTCATCGTAGAATCTTACGTTTATGTTATAAATAACCTGCAAGGGCCCAGAATCCCACTGCCATATGAAAGAATAAACCAACGAGTTTTGTACAAATGCTAATGTTTTATATTATAAAGGGGACATGACCCCAACAACACTCTGATATGATTCAGCAGATCTATATAAACTTACAGAAGCTTTAACCACCTTTGCTAGTAGCTTCACATTTTTGTATTTAAAAGAGAATTCAGAGTGTGTTGTAAAGAAGTAATCTCAGTACTTGTTGGCATACTACTGGATGATTATGTAAGTTAACTACAGGGGTTTGTTTTACAGTGGATATTGGTGATAATGTCATTGTACATTTGGACAAACTCTTAAGTGATATTATGAAAAATGTTCAAACTAATAACTAAGTACAGAGATAACCAGTTATGGTGCAAATAAATAAGGGTAGAGTATAGTCATTCAGATAATAACAAATTAAAAAACATGAAATGTCTTTGCATTATGTGTCACTGATAAACAACAATAATGATGATTTGCTTTGGAATAAAAAAAAAAGTGCGAATTGTGAATAAAAGTCAAAATTACACAAGGTACACAAGAATCAATACGTCAAAGCTGCAGCAGAGGTTGTAACAGAAAGAGAGTTGTGAACATTAAAGGGGACCTTGTTGTATATATTTAGACTATGGACTACGACATTTAGGTTGACCGTTTATTCAACACGTTATTGCACACGCTGCCATGACAACACAACAACAACCAACTGTATCCGGTTCACACATCCCCAAACTCCCGGTGCCATCTTAAAGGCACAGTCACACCTGATGTGACACATACATAACATTTACCCCCCCCCACAAGGAACCCAATTAACTTTGAGCTATCTACTCTAGATGAACTGGGTAGACTGCCAGTCACCAGCATAGCCATGTGGATTATTCTGCCACGCAACAGACTATGCTCTGAACATTACCCCTGAGAATCACAAGCTCACAATATAGTCCTCCAAGTATCTTGGTCTGACCCGGACACGGGCCGGATGAGCTTCAGGACGAACCACTGGCTCAACCGGCTCAGGTGGGAACCCGGCTGGACCCTGCAACAGCTCATCAGGAAAAGCAAAGTCCCCGTCCTCCCTGGGCCATGGGTCCACGATGGGGGGCGGTGCCACCTTCCGAAGCCGGCTTGCATGCCACCGTGATCCGTCGGCCAGACGAAAGGTGGCTGACCCCAGTTGAGCGGTGACCTTCATCGGCGCCGTCCAGAAGGATAGCAGCTTGTGGTCCCGGTTAGGACGGTGAATCCTGACCCAATCCCCCACTGTGAAGGGAGGCGCTCTCACCCTCCGTCTCTTGTTGAACCGCTGCTTCATGCGGCGCTGAGCCTCTGCGACCCTGGCGCTCTGGCAGGGTGCGGCTGTTGGCGTGACGGCCGCCGGGGCCCGTAACCGATCCAAAGGGAGCTGGAGCTCACGGCCCATCATCAAGAGGGCTGGGGAGCTGCCGGTAGTTGAATGCGGTGTCGCCCGGTAGTGAAGCAGGGTGCGGAGCAGCGCGGCTGAGAACGGAAGACCATCTGCCAGGTGTGCTCTGATCCCGTTCTTTAGGGTTTGATTGAACCTTTCCACCCCCCCATTTGCTTGCGGGTGGTAGAAAGCTGTACGGATGTGTTTAATCCCCCTCTCTTCCACAAAGGTGGCGAACTCAGCTGAGACAAACTGTGGGCCGTTATCTGTAGTGATGGCATTAGGACTGCCCCACGAGCAAACAGAGAGGAGAGGAAGTCTGTGACCACCCGAGCCGTTACGGACCCTGTGGCGACCACCTCTGGCCATTTCGAATGGAGGTCGTAGGCCACCAGGAGGAAGCGTTGGTGGTGCAGGACGCCATGGAGCTCCCCACAGATGTCCAGCTGCATGTGCTCCCAAGGCGCGCGCGGCCACTGCAAGGGCTGCAGGGCCGGTGGGGGGTGGCGGGCCAGTTTTGCCACTGACCAGGCAGGCCGTGCACTCCTTCACCATTGTCTCTATATCTCGATCTATGCCCGGCCACCACACCAAATCCCTGCAGCGCTGTTTCACCTTCACGATACCCAGGTGGCCCTCGTGCGCCATAGCCAATACGCGTGCCCTGAGGTTGATGGGGACGAACGTGCGGAGGCCCCGGGCCACGCAGACACCGTTCCAGCAGGTCAGCTCGTCCTTGACCCGATGAAAAGACGCCTGCTCCTCCGGGAACTTCGCAGGCCATCCCTCCCGGATGTAAGTGCGGAGCCGGGAGAGCGTGGGGTCCTCCTCCGACGCGAGCCGAAGGTCCTCCAGGGAAACCGCGGCCTGAAGTGGGGCGTGGAGCATGAGTATGAGCTCTGACTCTGTTGCGTCAGGGCCCGCGCCGGGCGCTGGGGTGGGGGTGGCGCGGGAGAGCAGGTCAGCCACCACATTCTCCCTGCCGGGAGTAAACACTGTGGTGAAGTCATACGGCAGGAGCCTCTCTGACCAGCGGTAGATCCTCAGCGGTTTGTGCCCCGACCCCGATGTAGCAAGCAGGACTGTAAGAGCCTGGTGGTCAGTACGCAACGTAAAATGTCGCCCATACACGTACATATGCCACCGCTCGCACGCCCAGACGCAGGCCAGCGCCTCCCGCTCCCCCACCGAGTATTTCTGTTCGGCCGAGTTGAGGGACCGAGAGGCGAACGCCACTGGGCGTTCTGTGCCCCCCTGGATCTGGGACAGCACCGCCCCTATTGCCGTATTGGACGCGTCACAGGTCACGAACGTGGGGCTCGCCAGGTCAAAGAATGCGAGCACCGGCGTTGAGGTGAGCTGCGTCTTGAGCTGGCGAACAGCGGCAGAGCAGGCCGGGGTCCACTCCCAGACTGCGTCCTGTTTCAGGAGTTCGCGTAGTGGGGAGGTGGTCGAGGAGTACTGAGGAAGGAAGCGCAGGTAGTAGGCCGTCATCCCCAGAAACGAAGAGATCTGAGCTGGACAGGACGGCTCAGGCAGGCGCAGCACCGCCTCTACGTTGGAGTGTAGCGGGCTGAGGCCGTCGGCGGTCAGGCGGAACCCCACGAAGTCGATGGCTGGAACGGCGAAGGTGCACTTTTCCCCATTGAGTGTGAGGTTGTGACTGGCGAGGACGTCCAGCACCCTCGCCAGGCATTCGTCATGAACGGCTGGTGTTGCACCATGAACCACTATGTCGTCCAGGAAGACGACCACGCCCGGGATGCCGGCGAAGATGGTGGTCATGATTTTTTGAAAACAGCTGGGGGCCGAGCTGAGGCCGAAGGGCATGCGGGTGTAGCGAAACACTCCGACATGCGTCACGAAAGCTGTAAGGCTGCGGCTGTCAGGGTGCAGCGGAACCTGCAGGTAGCCTTGGCGAAGGTCTAGTTTTGTGAACATAGAAGAGCCGTAGAATTGTGCGGCTAGCTCCTCCACTGTGGGCAGCGGATACCTGTCAGGTATCACGGCCTTGTTCACCGGCCTGAGGTCGATGCACGGGCGCAGGCCCCCTGACTTCTTCTTTACCACCACCAGGTTTGAAATCCACGGGGAAGCATCAATCCGTTCGATGATGCCCGCGTCCAAGAGTTTTTGCAGCTCGGCGGTGACGTCGTCGCGCAGGGCGAGAGGCAGGCGGCGTATGGGCTGAATCACGGGGTGTACCTCAGGCTTGAGGAGGGGCTGGTGGTCTAAGGCGGTGAGGCAGCCCAAACCACTGAACAGAGCTGGCCAGCGCTGATGCCACGGCGAGCCAACAGACAAGATGGCGGCCCCAGAATTGTCCACAAGGGTGAAACCCAACTCACAAAACAAGTCAAAACCCATGAGCTTGGCCCGCTGGTGAGACACTTGAAAGGGGAATGCGTGGAGAGCCTTAGTCCCGTAACGCACAGCAAAGGTGATTGTGCCCGCCATTCCAATTTTAGAGTGTCCATACCCATACAGAACCTCGGCGTCGGCGGTCAGTGTTCGGAGCGGAAAGAGACGCCGGACCGTGGAAACATTCAGGAGCGACTTGGAGGCCCCCGTATCCAGCAGCAGCGGGAGGCAGACCCCATCCAGCTCCACCGTGCAGCACTTTAGCGGTCGGGAGATGGCGGCCACTGAGTGGATG